GATTACTGTATCGAATCCATATTACTTATCTGTTTTATTACTTGTGAGGCACTTTTCTCAATTCGGTCCTGGATTTAACATGATGGATGCTCACGTGATCCGGAAAAGGAGATCAAAGGTGCCGACACGAAGTGGACCTACTGGTTATACTGTGGTTATACTGTGAGTGGAGCCTATAAAGCTTGTATCATACTGTGTATTAAATCTCACATTGGACTACGTGTTGAAGCATGCGTGCTTTTAGCGTGACACGAGTTGACTTGACATTGACAATGTTGACACAAATGTCATCTTTCTGTCATTTGTTATCAGTGAGTGTTAAAAAAAGATAAAATGATTCTTGTGTTAATTTGTGTCGTTAGATAAAAAAATTTTTTTTTCTAACGAATTGTGTTCCAAAATCCATCGAAAGGAGAATGCCGTCCGCGGCATCTGCGAGCTCGTGGCGCTCGCTGGACGAGCTCCCCGAGTTACAGCGATGTGTCATGGGATAGTCAATTGTTTGTAAATATTTTACATATATATAAACTTCTTTTCTATACACCACTTGGACGCGGTGTGAAGTCCGATCCAACGAGACACGGTCGGTCGCGACCGTGAATTTACCGAGTTTACTCCGATTAAAGACGATATTCGTTGCACCGCTCCAAGTGAGTCGCGGTGATTAAGAAATATTTTATACAAGTTCTTGCCGTGTATTTATTAATTTTGTGAGCATGCAAATTGCCAGACAAGTTGTCTTCACACACGATTCTGCAACTTGTGTCGTACTTCTTGCGATTGACAGTGCGTGAATTTTACATATGGGGAGAGGAGGAGGTTATAAAATTTAATATTTCATAATCCGTTGAATGTTGCGTTTGACAAGTGACTTCGATAATTACATATACAATTTTGTACTGTGAAAAGGTACAGGAAAATATATAAATCAAACGGCTAGTCTCATGTAAAATATATTGCTTATTTATTTTGCTACGACAAAATTCAAAGATCAAAGTTTTCCAGGAAATAAATGCCATAACGTCTTAAATCATAAAAATTTCGTAATATTAATTTTAAAATGCAATTTTGGTGTAAAAATTGATTGGAAACGAATAAAAGTGTGTCCTTTTAGGCCCATTTTTATCGATGTAAATTAAGTTTTAATCTCGATTTAATTTATTCTTTATTTCTTAGAGATTGAACCTAACCCCTGACATATTTTGAAATGGACATTAAAAGTATATTTTTTCTTTTTTTTATATTTTCGTTCTGTTTCTGCAAGCACCTAAAAAATGACCTTTATTTTGGACATTGTTGTGTCACAAATAAGCAAAATAACAATTGAATCTTGTATCTTGCAGGTATATGGACAGATTAAAATTAAGGGAGAACAATGTCGTCCACGTTAGCCACTCCTCGGAAATTGCCAATCTTTGTGTTTCCACAAAGCATTACGTTCTACCTGGACGACCAGTCCACCCACAAGCAAGTGTTAACTTTGTATAACCCATATGACTTTCCTGTAAAATTCAGAGGTAACTCTTTGTTCTATTTTTCTTCTGACAAGAGAATCTTTAACTTTGACCTTGTCTGCTTAATAAATCCTGCATTGTTTCAGTTTTATGTACTGCGCCGTACAAATATCAGGTGGTCGATCCAGAGGGCGTGATAAAGGCAAGTTCCTGCGTCGATATTGTTGTCAGACATACGGCGGTTTTAGCAAGTAACTGCAATGTGATTGATAAATTCAGAATACACATGCACGAATATCCTACTAAGCAGGTAATACATTTGTAACACACAAGTAATTAAAAGGAAGCGCTCGTTTCGAATCTAAATTCTATCGATTTTGATAGGTAATTGGGAAAAGAGATGTAGAAGCTAAACTTCTCCCTGGAATGATGGATACAGCCGGGAGGGCGACACCAGATCCAGATGTGTTTCAACAACTTCCAATAAATGAAAATAGGCAGCAAGAATCCTATGCGCTCATAAGCCGAAATAAAACGATGGACAGTAAGTGAATATTTAAAAAGATCGCTTTAAGCTTGATTTTTTTTCTGATAAATTGTTTGAATTCTGTTTGAATATAAAAAAAATAAATAAAACGATAAATTTTGTATTTCCTAATACAAAAAAAAATTTGCATTTATGAAGTTTAAACTGATATGAAAATGAGATTAACATGTAAATCCAAAACAAATTCTTCGTTATTATATTTACAGTAATGAAACAATTGCCTTGAAACAAATTAACGCTTAATAGCTACAAATTGTATTTTAGGAGGTACGAATTATGTAGCGCTCATCGCAGGAATTATATGCATAATTGGATTGCTTCTACCCACTGAAGGAGAACAAAGTCACAGAATGCCTGATTATCTGCATCTCTCTGTGAATTTTAAATTAATATTCTCATTTGTATTAGGTAATGCAATTATACAGATAAATAAATATATATATATATATATATAAAATTTCAATAACATTTTTGTTGCAGGTATGGTCGCGAATATCGTTTTAGGGCTATAATCTTTAGATTTTTATACGAACGACAACTTTGTACACACGATGGAGAATCGTAGGATAAAAGCACAATTAATACAAGACTTCATTACATTGGGCCTCCTTTCTTATGAAATGTACTCGATTCTAGTCTACAGATAGCAAATTTCAATTTTCTATTGACCAAGATATTGATATTTGTTTTTTATAATAATTATTATATTATAATCTTATAGATATATACATATAAATATTTATTGTATGTATAATATTTATATTATATATTTTTGTAAATATATGACATAAATATTAAATATTTGTCAAATATTTGTTGTATATGTCATATATAAATATATATAAATGTTATAATATAATAATTATATATTGTAATTGTAAGAAATAATAATATATTTTAGAGTGAGGCGGTCTCGAAACATATAAGAGATACTCTGGCTCGTGAACTATATATATTTCCAGGCCTACTGGGAAAACTAACTTCATTATTTAAATCATACGATATCGTGTATATATCGTGTATACCGAAGATAAATTGTATATGTCCTTTATAAAATGTCGTAATATAATGAAATAACATAAGAGAATAAGCTGTTAATGTTTGTATTGCTAGCTCATCTGACTTTGCATCTTTATGTTGTATATATTAATCATTGTGATATATCTCGCCATTTATAATGACCATTTTTATATATTCTAATTGATCTCATGTACAGCTAGATAGGAGAGTCTTCCTGTATATAAAGTTGGATCGAAATTTAGACATCTGCATTAAAAATATCTGTAATAAATAATTGTTATTTTTTCCATCTTCTGTTATCCATTACAGTCTCGTATACAATATCATGAGCATGATTTACAACGAATTTAATTTACAATAAAATAAAAATTCCAATTAAAAAAACTGCGATATCTAAACGAGAGAGAGAGAGAGAGAGAGCTAGAGCAAATCTGTGTCTTCTGATACATTTTCTTTATACAGAAACTTTAAAATTAATTTTAACAGAGGCAACAATTTGTTTCGAAAAACGTTTTCGTAAGAGATTAGAGATTTCAAAAGCGCGATATGTCAAACTACTCACAGAATAAGCGCTCACAAATTCTTTCCTCATGTTATAAATGTTAGCAATAAGGACATTCATTTATTTATGACCAATGTATATTCATATATTATTTACATAAGTTATAACAGACACTTGTGATTGAGTGTATCGTCAAATGGATATTATCCAAACGTTTCACGTCTTATTTACTTTCTTGTCAGATGCATGTGATCTCCTGAGAAGTAAGAATCGGCTGTATTTTCAAAAAATGTAATACGATTAGATAAAAGAAGATTCTCCCCTTCAATATTTTCTGTATACTAAACCGTTTAAATTACCCGTAAGTCTGTCAGGAAAGTTGTAATATATGTCCCGTCCACGAAATGGTACAACTTCACATTCGATGTACATTCTTCAAACTGTCATTATGGGTCTTATACTCCATAGTGGCAGTAGGGGGAAGGTGTAATACTCTTCTTAAGGTATCCCTAATCCGCGCTGTTATCGTCACATCGGACGCTGTCTTATTCCACACACATATTATATCCTCCTGTCAAATTAACAAATTTATCCGATAAAAAGAATTCTTGTATCCGACGTAAAAACTCTAAAAACAGGCGCGTAAAACTCTCGCTTACTTGAAATCTTATGGATACAACAGCGCCGCATATTTCTTCCCCTACCATAAATTGCTCTCCTAAAATTGCCAATATAAGATTCTCCCAACATCTGGAAACTAAACCCTTTCGTAATCTCACTATCCACTTGCCACCTTTTTGATTCGCTTCATCCTGAAAAGAAAACAAACGATAGTTTCGATGTATAAGAATTACTATTTCATTTGTCATATGACTAATTTTTCAAGCGTGTTAATTGGCTGCAGGATAGAGAAGTTCCCTTTGATTGAAAAATTTGTCATACGATAAATGTGATATCAGATTTAATATGTATGCAATGAACATAAATGAACAGGCCTGTGCTTACCTCCCACATAGGTTTTATACCGACTTTGAAGAGATGGAAGTCTGTGTGCGTCGTAAGATCTGACGGTCGTACTAAATGACTGTAGAGACCCCAAAACTGTTCCACGCTCGCGAACCTGCCGACCAGCTTTAAATTTTGGTCGTAACTCTGTATGCTAGTCTTGCCAGGACTACGTCGACTGTACCACAGTGCATAAGCATACTGTAATTTATGCTCGTTTGGACTTATCTCTATTGGAGGCTGCAAATAGATATTGTCAGATAATTGTCAGATATCTTTCATCGACACTAATACCGTCATTGTCGACAAGATCTCTGTTTTACTCACTAATGGACCCTTTTCTGCCTTTTGATTATCCTTTGATTGAGACTCCTCGTCTCCGCTGTCCTCTGTGGGTTTCAATCTATAAGGGCTGTCAGAATTTGTAAGTTAGACAACAGAAGTCAAATACTTCAAGCATTTACTGCTCATTAATAAGGATCGCTTATCGAAATTAGAAGTTTTTTTTATCGAATTCTATAAATCGGAATAAGATAAATTGAACCGAGATTAAAATTAAATTTTATATTGATAGAAATAAGAGGCGAGATTCGATTAAGCTCCGATTAACTGAATTGGTAGGAATACTCGCAGCAAAATATATATATATAAAAATCACCGTTCTAATCTTCGTTTTTCGATATCAAACAACGAGAGATAAAAAAGTGAGAAATATTAATAATTCTATCCGCGCTAAAACGAGCACCGCTCGACAAATTCATCGCCGATTAAGGTAAAACGAGAGAGGGTGTCTCGAACGTCGAAACGGGAACCGTCACACGTGAATCCTAACTGGCATCGCTCACGATTACACCGTCCTTTCCATTGTCGAGGGTCAGAACTTTCGTTCGGACGGGAACGCACGAGTGACAAGTGCGACAGATGGGGACGCGTTTATCTCGTGTGTGAAATCCCGTTGCACTCGAATGCGCGTCTAACCTCGCAGAAAAAAAAACCTCCCGGTAAAGGCCACCTTTTCACACTTACGTCTCAAATTTAGCGGACATGCTTGCAGCTGGTCGGGACAAAAATACGTATGCACTACAAGGATATATATTATTTTGCGCTCAAACGCACGTACGAATGTAACAAAAGTTTCGTAAAACGCTCGCCCCTTCCACGCTCGCACGTTGAGCTTTCACGTCTGCGGTGTTTTCGGTAAACTGTTGATCTTCCAGCAGCATTTCTCTCTCTCTCTCTCTCACCCTTTCTCTCGTTATTTTTTCCGCCGTTTTATCATCAGAGATTTCGCGTTCGCACGTTGGTCATACTAAACGCGTATGATCGCCCCGCGAGATAACGAATTGTATTGGTGGAGAAAAGTGTCTACATACTCTAGAATATTCATGCGCCATGCCGTAAAAATAAAGCTCACTTCAGTTCGTATCGAAATTCAATTTGTTTACATTTGTCTATGGACGACCTTGCTCGAGCTCGGATTAATTCAGCCGGCAGAATTGCTTGAAATTTCTAAGTATGTAATCCTTTACATACTCTAGTTTGTTTCTAATTCGATCTTTTTTTCCACATATGTTAAACACGACAAAAGAATTAATAATTCTGTCCGCGTTAAACGAAAAATAGTTCATTCAGTTTTTTCATGTATTGAAAAATTAATAATTCTGTGTTAATGAAATAATGCAAGTTTCGGTTAATTATAGAATTAATTACTTTTCCTGAAATCGGACGTGAATTGAAAGTATAAAACGGGTTAACTTATACTTAACTTCACTTATACAGGTTATATAGCGAATTCGATTGAATGCATTAGATATGTGCGCGCATATTATTAATGCATATCAAAACCGTTGTACACAAATCATTCAATATAAAAATATATGTTTAATATAAATACACTATATCAATCTGAGAAACGGATTAAAATTCTTAATATACACGCACCTTAATTAGTATTAATTAGTATTAATTAGTAAAATATATATTAGGTATTTTATTATTCGGGACATTATGCTTTTTACAATTGAGATTAGAACAGTGTACAATGGTATATATTAATATGTGCACTGTGCGATGCACCACACTAATACATCCAATCGAATTCGCTATTCTATCTAGTAAAGTTTCCATTTAATCTTTGATTAGAAGAAAACATATAACTTATCATACCTCAGTTTGTAAGCAACAGCCCATATTAAAATTGATGCCAAATTACTTTTAAGAAGAGAGGTGCGATGTGCACTCAATATATTATTTTAAAATAGAAATTTTATGTTACCATTTAATTTTACAGAAGATGCAGAGTTTCAATCCCATGAAATGGAAAACGAGATCTATCTTGCATGGCATTCGTAGGCACTTTTTATTATCATTTAATTTAAACATACAAGAAAATAACGTGCTTCGTTTTATTAATAAAAAAAAAAGAATTTCGCGAGCTAGAGAAGTGCATCGTGCGTAGCATCCCGCGCAGTGGTGCCCCTAATTTTCTCTCCTGTTGCCAATCGCGAACTCCGACTTCAGCTTCTTCAGGATCTCCTCTCGCTGGTACATGACTTCTCTGCGACACAGCGGCGAAAATGCGATTGGGCATTCGTACTGCACGGTCTCGATGCATTTCGTGTCCTCCGCGCCATCCGCGTCGAATCTGAATTGCGAAATGGTATTCACTGGAAAGTACAAACAGCCCGATTATACGATATTCGCCTCAGCGCGGAGACGGGGAGTTTATGCGGTCAGAGGCGAGCTGAAATCGCACGTGAACGAAAGCTGATCGTTCAAAAATAGTCGCAAGATGTATTCGTTGGAGGCTGCGTTTCTAGAGCAATCGTTAACGCATTTATTTGCGAGAGAATATTATTATTTCTACGGTATAGCTTACGAGAATCGATTACATTTTTTCAAGATTGCGTGAGAATCATGCTTAAAAGTTTAGAAACATATTAATTCTTATTTATATTATATATATAGCCTGTATAATATATACCATATAAAACACCCCCACAAATTGACGTATAAATGACAAAAATAAATTGAAAAAATTTTATTGAAAAATAATATTTATTTTCATAACTATTTTAATATTTTATTCGCTCTTCTTTGATCTTTATTACAGCCTTTAAAAAAAATGCAATAAATTGAGGGTGCTTTATATTTTATGATCACAAAGCTATATTTATAATATAGTTATAAATATATTATTTTTCTGAGTCGTAAAAATTCGTTCTCATATGTCTGCGCTTTTTCATTCTTATTGCATTCTGAATATTTTTAAGAAATTTTTTTTTAGACATTCGATCGATTTTCTAACTGCGCAAGCAATTTATATGCGAATAATTTGTACAAGACAAAGTAAAATTGAGTGCGTTGTCGACTTATAATGTATGCCAGGCAGAGTGAACGGGACTGCGAGCGGTGTCCACTTACGACAGAAGAAATCGAAGCAGAAGCAGGTCCGATGCCTGGAACTGATGACATAGCCATTGTCGTCCGGCTTGACGGCGTAGTGTCCGTGCGCTACATTACGGATCATCGGCAGATGACTCAGATGTTCCGTGTACCGCACGGAGTATTCCCAGTGATCGTAATTCCCGCCTTCGTCGATCACAGTAAAATCTTCTCTGTGACATCAATTCAAATGGATCAGTCGAGAAAAAAAGTGCGCAATTAATTCACATTTTATTCTGCCCTTTCGAAATTTAAAATGACCTGCGTTATTTTCTCTCTTATTTTCTATCTCTTTGTATCTCGAAGATAAGAGACCAAAATAGCGGATGTATTATATATATGTATTCTCTTTCCTCTTTTTTTCTCTTTCTCTGCTTTTTTTTTATTAATACAACATTGATCGTTCCAAGGAATTGTCTGATTCCTACTTACATTGTTGGATTCAATTTTTTCATGTTGCTAAAATCGGCCACGAACTCCCACACCAGTTTGGGATCCGACTTATTTATGATGCCCTCGAACATCACTTGATGTTTCTTCTTATAAACAAATAATGAGTAAAGAACCAAAGCGCCTAGAATGCCGTGCAAGATAGATCTCGTTTTCCATTTCATGGGATTGAAACTCATCTTCTGTGTACCAGCAAAAAAGAAAAGCTGATCGTTACAGATAAATCAGACCCTTTTCAGAACTGGTTTGCATTGTATCAAAATATTCGAATAGAAATCTGGCTCATTTTAATCCTCGGATTCGTCAGAAAGGTTTCTAAAACTCTCTGCAGCATTTATTTTTTATGATATTCTTTAAATATTTTGATCCGTTTTTCTTTTCTAGATAATCTTTAAAGAAATAATTTTTTTGCAAATTTATTAGGAAGAAATGCATTCCAGGATTGATATCAATTTTAATTTGAAAATAAAATTCTAGAAACATTATCAATTAAAATTATGCAGAATTGTTCATGTTTTTATAATTACAATTGTGAAGACATAGCATATGCAATCGTGTTAAAATACAGGCAGCTTTTAGAAATATTCTCGGTTTTATTTTTAGATAAAATGCGTGAGCAAAGACAAAAAGAATGCATTATTTGTATCCCAAAGACGCGATTTTTTTCGGAAACAAGATATAACGCGGAATGCGAAATTCCAGCGTGCTCGAGCGTCATTATGCGAGAATAAGATCTTTTTAAACAAATGAGATTTCGCACTTACCGCTGTCGCAAGGATCGTCCGATTGGCGCGATTCAGCGCGGGTTCGCGAGTACTTCCGGTTTGAAAGAGTGTTATCAGCCCGGAGCTCGAGATTTCGAGAGGTAGCGATAGGAAAAACCTCGCTGGACGAGATAGCGGCTCTCCGCCTGACGCGCTCCGATCCCACACTGGATCCCGCCCGCTAGCCAGTATTTTTTTTTCGCTTCGCCTCGCCGCTACGTCACGGTTTGTATGAATGTAGATGTATTCCAGGGCCGGCAACAGGCCTGTCTCGGAAGTGGCGAGTGAAATAGGATCCTTCAATCGCGCATCGCAAGAATCCAATCGGATATAGTCGGAGAAAATTCCTCTCGAGCGGCGTACAAAAATACGTGACAAAAATTTATTTCGGATATTCATGTACAAGGTTTTTTTTATATACAAATGTGATTCACAAAATTCTCTCGTCTAGTTAACTTGTTCTTTTTTTGTCGAGCATAGACTTCACGTGCGGCGGTAGCAAAACGTTTAAATCATGACGCGAAGACATAAAGTTGAAGTTCAATAATCTTACTAAACCGTTTTGGTAGCCTATCGCTAGCCACAGATAACTCCACGTGTTTGGATTCCAAGCCACCTAAAAAAGTAATAAAAATAAAAGAAAATATGTATTAATTTTGTTGTCTATCAGTGCTCCATTTCTAATTATGTTTCTATATTGAAAACAAGCAAAATCAGTGATTTTTAAAACATGCTAATGTGTTTTAAATAAATATTTTAATTATAATTTCAATTAATTGCTATTAAAAATTTATTTTTATTATATTTTAATACGTCTTAATTATTTTGCGAGGGAAAGATAGGAGAGAATTATTCTCGACGTACCCTGTTTGCAGAAGTAAATGGATATTGTTCAATAGGGACAGACATCATCTTGTCACTATTCAGACTATCCTTCTGCTTGCCTCTAGCGACACTTTTCTCCAAATCCTCAAAGAGAAAAATTGATTGATATTAGATTGATTGATATTAAGGCATAAAATATTATAAGAGAGATACGTCTAACAATTTACCGTTAAATTATCATGAAAGATGATACCAAAACGATCTTTGCATTCATCATACTTTTCCGGCATGTAGTAATATTCTTTGGAACTCTTTTTATCTTGACTTTTACTATCTTTGCCATGTTGCTGCTCCTCTAAGAAATCCACCGTCTTGATAAAAGAATTCAACTGTGACAAATTATAAAAACATATATAACAGCAAGTTAATGTAACAAAATATGTATTTTATTACTATAGGAATCTTATGACGATGTAAAAGTATATTTCTTTCCTACCTGTCTTTTCTTAGACAATAATTTTTCTGGATACAACAATTGATGAGGAAAGATAGTCAATACTTCTCCGGCTAAAGTGCTGTGTGCAATACTGTTAGCGTGATCGGAAACAGAGAGGCCCTGAAAAATTGAACGTTATATTTAGGAGAGTGTACAATCGGTCGTCATCTGAAAGCAAGAAATAACATAACATTCTTACATAAGTTGTCGAGTTGGTTGCTAAAATTGGGCCATATTTGTATCCGTATTCTCTCACCGGCACTGTCATGGAATGCATGTAATGATACCTGAAAGAATCATCGCGTTAGAAAAGATAATCAGTTATTATCATTCCTCTGCGTGCAACAGAATAAATTTTACCCAAGTGCATCGTCGAAACTAAGAACCGCGCACGGCCAGTTTGTCATCCACACGCCGTTCGATACTATGCCCCTTTTTATACAGCTCTGCGGTGCAGTCGTATCTTCCAAATCCCAAAATTTATACGATTTATCTACACTGGCGGAAGCGAGGAAACGGCGGTTACCGTACGGAACTAGTGCTACCACTGTGCGAAAGAACAAGACAAATACATTTTTACATATCCTTTCTATCCCCCTTACGTGAATGAGATGCGAGTTTACTTACTGGTAATTGCATTAAAATGAGCAAAGAAATAGTGGTATGTATTTATAACTTTAGTATCATTCCGTACATCAAGCAACAGAGGCGAGACAGTCGTAAGATGCCACAGCCCGATGTAACCGTTTGAGAAACCTGCCGCGATAAAGCTGAAAATATTTGCATTATTTTTTATAATATACTGCCTTGGTACAATATATAAGTAACTTAGCAATATAAGGCATCCCCATAAATTGACGTGAACATTTCAATATTTAACGAAAAATAATTATTTATTTTTATAACAATTTTGTTAGTACTTTTTTCAAGAAAATGCATTAAATTGAGGATGCTTTATACTTATGGCCAAGATTGTACACGAAAAATAATTTAGATTACGGATATTACTTATGTCCATGCTCCTTCGTCCACGACAGCCTGGTACACTGCCAGTTTTGTTCATTATTGTCATACATAAGAATATTCTTGACCAATGTTATTACCGGATCGGTCTTGTAAATCGGCCACCTTGAAGCAGAATGCATGAAAATTTCTTTATGAATAACGAAGGAAAAAAATAATAAATAATAATAACGCAGTCAATGTATGACTCACGAATTGTCTTCCGTTTTTTCGAATTTAAGTTCGTCCGCGAACGGTAGCGAATAAATATGTATACATCCATCGGAGCATGCAGCTGCAAGTAATCCCATTCGCCTGAGATCACTTCCGCCCGCTTTGTAGTTACCAAGATCGACATCCTGATAGCATCCTGACGGGCACCACTCTAAGCACCAAACTGTACCGCTATTATGCGCAATCGCGTAGGCTAAGACGGGCGATTTATTTTCACTATTAACTCTGAAAAGAATACAATGTAATCTCAATAACGTTATAAATTGTAGCGTTATAGAGTGACGCGTTGTTTCGTGTGACAGTAGTCGACTTGTAGTTGAAGAGTCCCAAGTTTTGTGATTGTCACTCCATGTATGTCTCGATTTTATAAAAGGATTGGAAATTAAATATTGTGAATCCACATTATTCATCGGAAAATATGAAGAATTTTGACAGTAAAAATTGGAAGCGCATGAATAAATTCGAGAGTATGATATCCGTTAAGAGAATTAATTTACGAAATTTCTCTATACAAGTTATGATGTATTGAACTATTTAGCAGACTCCCTTATTAAAAAATATATATATATATATCCATCCGCTTTGTAATTGCCAAGATCGGCATTCTGAGAGTATCCCAATGGACGCCATTCTTGTGGTCTTGAGTTACTTACTTATGATTTAAAGGTCCGACATCCCATATCTGTATGATGTTTGGGCCTGAATATTTACATCTGACTTCATACTCGCTTTCCATCGTGGGATGCGTGCTAATTGCGATGTATTGCATCGGGTTTTTGGAATACATCGGCGATGGGATAGGTAACCATGCTAACGCCCATATAGGACCACCGACAAAAAATATTGGCACATCTAAAACAATACTTTATTTTAGAGAGATTCTTTGCTAAATATTTCAATATCATAACTTATATGGCGAAATCTCATAAATTACCTTCACAGATATCACTCTCGAACCTATTCATGCACATCCAATTTTTGTCATCAGAATTCTCCATATTTTCCGATGAATTGGCATGTTTGAAAGCCATCGAAATCGTTAGTTCTGGGAGATACGTTGCGGCATCATTATTTCCCAATAATGTAAAACAATTTGGCATATTATCTTCGAACAACGCCAATTCGTAATTTTTTAGTTCGCTGTTACAATAAAATAAATAAACAATCAGTTCCGTTAAGTAATAGAAGCAAACTATAGAGATTAAATTAAAAATCAAATTTGAACTTTAATATTTGGTGCATACACGCTATCTAATTGTACTTACAATTCCAGAGTCCATCGCAAAGTTGGTTCATAAATTTCATTTAGTAGCGAGTTCTGCGTTGTTTCCTTATCTAAGAAAGCCATTTTTCTGCAAGTTGTCTCTTTATCTAAAAATATTATTCTTTTGTAGATTCCTCAAATTTCAGAGAAACAATATATTCTTTCAAATATTTTGAGTTTATATATGTATATATGTATATTCGACCATGGTGGAAAAAAACATGTTTTTTTTCCACCATGTATTCGATTAAACTAAAAAAAAAAAAATATGCTATGTATACTAACTCGTGCTAAGTATTAAATTTAATATCGTTAACGTGTGCTTTTATATTAATTTGTATAGAACACTTTTCAAAAATATATATCCAAATAAATTTGTTAAATTAGAGTAATATAATTTATCTATTCAACTTACTTGTGCCATCAGAGTTTATTTTCAACGAACGACGACTGCTAAACTTTTGTTTTAAATCATCTTCGAATATACTTTCATCCGAATTCTCATCTTCCTCTGTCTCGTAATCAGAATATTTCTCTACGTCATTGTTGCCGGAATGAATTTCTGTTATATGATCTATAATCTTATCTTTAGATTCCGCACAAAACTTGCAAATCTTACACATGAATTTCTGAAAAATATATTATTTTTTACGTGTAGATTTAACCACTCTTCTAAATATGTAGCAAATAAAAAAACAATATATACCTCTTTTGGCCTGAAATTACATTGATAGTAATGTTCATAGATGGTTTCGTAAGAGAAGCATGTAAAAGTACATCCTAGCTGCTTACAAGACATGACGCCTTTTGAGTCCAATTCTTTTTTCCACATAACTTTCCAAGCGCTTGGTATCCTTTTCTTTTGCGGTATTTGTACTACATCGTTCTAAATATATTAAGTGTATTAACATACATGTTATACATAGGCAGAAATTTACGATATAATATTTACAATATGTAACAATGAAAATTTTAATTTTAAATTTGAATGAGAATGCATATTTTTAACGTAATTACATTTTGCTCTTTCAAAGATTCAGCGAGTTCCAATATTCTTGGTACTGCTCTGTAATTACAAAAAATATATATGTATGTATATAACTACATTAATAAGCGTAATTTAAGTAACTTTTAATTAATATTTTATGTTTACCTCTCTGCTGCTTTCCGTTTAGTTCTTTCGACTTGTACATTTATTTGTACTTTATCTTTATTCTGTTCTGCTTGTCTGTGAAAACGTTCATGTACTTCCACAGAGGAAGGCATCATAACTCTATTGCAAATGGGACATGTCACCATTAACGATTGTTTTTCCTATAACGATAAAAATCTTTAGTAAAATGCTATATACTCATGTAATAAATACTGTCCTTTTCATGCTTACTTCTTCTGATTTACCGCAAAATTGCATGTGCGATATAAAACCAAGGACACTCTGTCTTCTATCTTCGCATTTCTCACAAATCAGAAATTTCTTTTTTTGCTTAAGAGCAGCAGATAATACTCTCTTTAACAACTTCGGGTCATTTTCAAAGTCCTGTATATATAAACAAATTTGTTTTTTCACACGAAACTTATTAATAGTACAAAAATCTGCAAAGAATGCTATTAAAAGTATTATTACCAATGGCTCCTGATCCTTTCGCCAAGCCATGTTATTATGTTGGTGTAAATTGTGTGAAGACCATTGTTTCTTTGGAATTTCTTTATCGCACTTAGCACAACTTACCAATTGTACCTGTAAGTAAAGGATTTAAATGAATTACTCAACGTTTTAACTGTTTAACGTTTTAACGTTGTAACATTTTGTTGTAAAATTTTTGCTGTTGCAGCAAAAATTTTTAAGATATACTGCAATCTACGGTACATTTGGAGCGCTCGAATCCGTAGGAGCATTTTTAATATTCGCATGGTTTGCTGTTGCACTTGTGTCATCTGTTTTGTCACTCTCTATCGTTCTCGATTGAGAAATGTTCGTTGTTAATCTAGGAATGTACTCGGTGTCTAAAGAATTTCGTGATGAAGGTCTACCCCTGCCGCGTCCTCGACCGTGTCCTCTACCCTGGCCTCTCGAGGCACCGGGGGGTCGACCTCGCTTCTTGACGAAAATATTTTCCGTGGTGTCGCTTTCAGTGCTCGAATCGCTGATATCATTAGTAATCCTAATTCGACTAGCGCGTCTTTTATCGCGTGTCACGGATTCGGTGATGCTTTCGGGAATCTCTCGCGACGTATCGATTCTGTTTGGCGTGCTTTGATCTGCGAGATCGTTTATCACTTTCCTAGGTCTACCCCTTTTTCTCTTGACGTTTTGTACTACAGCTGACTGGCTCTGTTCGTCATGCCTCGCATTTGTTTCACTTGCCGTGCATGCATCTCGATGTGCCGCATTCTTATTTAAATTTTCATCCCTTGCTTCGGATATCGACTCCCGCATACTTGTATCTCTGTGAGATGAGATATGTTGCCTAATTACAAGCTCCGTACATCCTCCTGTTGACCTTGGAGCGTTTTCTACCGCCGTCGATTGCATTCTTTCGGTGAACGATTGCGTCGAACTTGGTAATTTGTCTTTAGCTTTAACTAAGTTCGATTTTATGTTGTTATCTTCAATAGCTTTCAAATCCGAAGGCAGTGATTTTGTTGGTTTAGCTGGTAGTGCAGTTACTCCACTCTCAATTTTGTCAGTTTCTTGGTCTCCCGTCGCAGTTCTTGCATCTGATAAAGTACCGTACTGGTCGTTTACAATTTGATCTTGCACTTCCATCGACGAGATATTATCGTCGATTGATCTTCGGGTAAAATTATTCGATGCAATGCGGTCATTAATTCTGCCTTGCTGGAAATCCCTTTTATTTTTATCAGGTACGTTCTTGTCAATTGAATTTACATTATTTTTAGATGTTGCCAAAACATCCGTGCTTTTTGTCTCCACCAACGACGTTTCCGGCTTGTTGCGCGTAACAGAGGATAAAAGTTTCTTTCGAGAAAATGTTTTTGATGCACAATCCAAATTCACTTTTCCACTAGGACATTCAGGCATTAATTCAGTTTTACACGCTGCATTCTGCATAGTAACTAATTTACAAGATTCAGGTACTTTGTTCCTACTATTCAAATTCGTTTTACTTCTCTTTGCTACAATTTCTCCCTCTGTATTATGTTCCATACTGTCAGATTTGTCGACTTCTAAGCTAATAAAATCTTTCACCTTTGAGTTGCTCCGAGTGCGAAGTATACTTTTACATATGCGACTCTCGATACGCGTATCTACAATGATAGACGTGTCTTCGCACTTATTATTCTTAATGTCAGAATACCGATCGTCTAGCGCTTCCTTGTGTCTTCTGTCCACCTCCGATAACAAGATACTTTCATTCGAGGTAGATGCTTGAAAAATTAAAAAATTAAAGGTATCATTATTGATGCCGTGCTCTCAAAAGTGGAGTTTTAGAAAGTAGTAACATAATACTTACCATTAGCTGCGTCATTAATACAAATGCTCTTTTCAACGGAGGGAGAAAACATCCTCGTATCGTTCTTTGATGCTGCGTTGTACGCGCTACGCCATTGATTTTTCTTAAGCGACATGTCAGACAAAGTTATTCCTCTCCTTTTCGCAGGATAACAGAATTAAAGTTGAAGCAATTGTAAACACTGAGTCTATCTCTGTTGGTGCAACTCGTCGCATCCAGAAGAGGGAGTTCAATTTTTCTACCTGTAACACCAGTTATTACAATTTTAATGTTTAACACATGCCTTTTCGGGGCCCATCTCGCGAAATTTTGATAACAAAAAATACAAGGAAAAAAGAGAAAGACTCCGGGGATTCGAACGTGGAACGTGTAACACCGAAGCTCGATCTCTTATTTACAGCTCCAAAAGCACACTCACATGTTTCACCCTTAAGATACTCGTTACCTGGCACTTGTGATTTTCCGAGTGGAGTTTCAAATTCTCTGTAGTTCTACCGTTGCAAATAATTGATAAATTTCGCAACTTCCTATTATTTTACAACGCAAGCGAACAGCGCGAATAGGTTATACGTGCCGTTCCCGTAGATAATCTATCGATTTTTGTCTTAATTAAAATTTATGCACTTATCACAGTTATTACTCTGCACGCCAAAATGCGATGGAAATAAAAAATTTTTTCTCCCTTCTTTTTATACACGATGTTATGCGCCTGCAAATCGCATGCACCTCAATGCGCCTTTTAAGCTGCGTACACACAGTCACACACGTGCCTATTGCCTCACCGAAAATGGCGTAATATCGATCGGGCACTCTTGCAATGTGCCGATATGTTCAGTTGTATAAGAATAATTTCTGATTTGATTTGAAGTACGGAATGTTACTAGTTACGACATTACATAATATTCTCTTCACTCATTATTATTAATCAAAGATTTTGTTATACAAAAATATATGAAAATACTTTTGTATACGTTGTGTATATTATAGATTTTCTTAATATTTTCATATGTGAAATTTTTCGAGAATAATGCCCCTGATACTTTAAATAAAATCAGAACTTGTTATATTTTACAAAAACCCGAACGTAACAAATCGGTAAAAAAATCCCATGTTTTAACATGTTCCAGTTCTGTATGCCTTCGAGATATTTATTTAAATATGAAAATCTCTTCATTCTTTTGTAACGTAAAGAATCTTGTAACAACAAATATAAATGTAAAATTTTCTAGATTTTGTACATATTGATTTCACAATATTTTTTTTCAACAAACGTATCACACCTTTGTTTCAAAAGTGGCTTAACACAAAAAATTTATCATTTTTCGTTACCTGACTCATTCATTGTAATAACTCGAAAGAAAATCACGTTCTTCATACAAGCATGCGATATATAAAATATCAATCAGGCGCACGTGAATAATAATTAATTTACAAGAGATGAGTTTGATTAAATTTTATTTACGAAGATTTTTTATAAGTTTATATCATCCTTCGGAGAAGCTCGTTAATCTTATCTTCTCGATTTCCAAAGTCACCACCTTCTACATAATGATTGGTCTTCTTACGCCATCCGCCATTTGGTGTATTAAGCTAGAAACACACAGAGAAATGATTTTTCATACAAATATGCAAAAATTTCGAAGAAATATGTTTCTAAAACTCAGATCAGGATATTTTAAATATTTATAATTGAACTAATAAAAGTGTTTGAGCTTGTCTTAGATTTATGATATTAAGAAACAATCATCCATTGACAAGAAAAACTCGTATTAATTTTCGACATAGTAGGAGGCTAATAGACTTTAGATTAATCTACAACCATGCCTATGTCGCGAAATATCGATAGAAAATATTGTGTATTGTATCTTTTGTATTATTATTCAAGAACATATACCTTGAAGGGCCACAGGAAATTGCTGGCGAATTTGAATTTGGGACCAACAGTGAATATCTCGTGGATCAAGTCCTCGGTACAGATGATATTAGAGCGACCTAAGTGTAAAATAAAATTTTTGTTTTTGATAAATTATTTTCAGATTAAATTGATAATTCGTACCTACTGATATGTATAGATAAATTATATACACAGTTTTGTATCAATTATGTTAAAACCTGACTATATAATTATGTAGTCAGGCTAAAAAAAAATTGCTTTATTTATTTCTGACAAACTGGAAGAGAGAATGTGTATGTTCCCAAGACTCCCATGGATTTGTCAAGAAGTCATTTACTGAGAAATGCGCAGTCCACTTGATATTAATACTTGAAAACGTTTGATTGACCAATTAAAAAAAATTTTTTTTACTAAAACAAAGAATGCTTCGAAGCATTTATAACATCAAGTGGACCGCAGTCTACGACACATCTTGGTCGCATCTCAGTATTTTACTTGCAATTGTCGATTGTTAATTTGTGTAAATGTTAGAAGACGTTCTTACTAACCGAGCTTCTTCTCAATGATGGAGTTGCTAGTGATCGGTATGCGCTGCCTGTTTATCTTGGCAAAACCGCGCTTGTAGATCAACTCGCGAACCGATTTCAAATTAGGATACCCCCACGTAATGTAAGGCTCGACAATACGCAACATGTTGATCGTCGCTTTGTTCAACTTCACGAAGACACCATTGTTGATCTGTTTCAGACGGAACAGCTGCAGTACTTTCCGCACTTTGGGAGCAACTTGATTCACACTGAAAAAATTGCAATTACATTAAAGGCTATCAGGTTCACCTGGGGCTACAAATACTTTGAAGCATTCTTTGATTGGTTATCAATAAAATTCTTTCTTCTGACCAGTCGAGCAAATGCTTCAGTCTTTGTGGCGGAAATTGCACTCACAATAGTTACATTAATTCAAGATTTTGGCAAAGGATAAGCGCGACGTGTTGTTATATGTTAAAACAATCATATACACTTACCCTCGAATACGGGTAACAAACGCGAGACGCGCTTCACCAGGAATGTAATAATTTCCACGGTTTTTAGCCTGTCTCATCAATCGGATTTCATCTCTCTCCTTTCTCCTGTATTCCTTCACATATTCTTCAGCTTTTTTGAAGATCTGCTTTCTCTTCTTATAACGATTTGCACGTTGCTGCAAAAAAATCAGCTCATAAAAATCAGCTTGTTACCATATAAATTTTTTCTACTCTTATAAAGTTTCTATCAAACGACTCTGTTCATCGAAACATGTTGAAGAACATGACATTAAAAGTTATGGAAATCTAAGTAATTGAATGATTCAGATAATACGAGCTCAGTCACGAATTTGTATATTTGAAACTTCAAACGAATAAAATGCAGATAAATGGAGTTTCACTGTAATACGCTGTTAAATTGTTTATCTGTAATTTAATTACCTTAATCGATATCTGTAGACGCGCAGCCTTCACTGCCTCACGGCGTTTTCTCCTCTTCAATACCGACTCCGGCACCGCCGGCAGTTTTTTAGTTGGAGGAGCAGGTTCTTTCTTCCTGCATGGACAAATGCATGTTAGAAATGCATGAAGAAATACACGGGAATAGCTTTGCCATTCTCTCAAGTGTACACATGTTTGACAAACCCCCCGTAAACTCAAATTTAGGTTATATTGGTTGCAAGTGTTTTTTTAGTCAAATACAAATGCAAAATACAAACTAATACTAGTAGAATAAATTTTTGATGTGAAAAAACAAAATTTTCTCCGAGTTGTGTATGCTATACGATATTATCGTCCCGCGAGAGGCGACGATGCGATCGCGAACTCCCGCCTGACAATTCCGTTTGCTCGCTCGTTTAAAGTAAAAATATGAATTCGCTAACACGCATGCAACACAAACGTTCGTTAATACGACATTTTTGTATTCGCGAAATCACATTGTTTGCTGGATGCGGCCGGATTTCGCGAGACCACAAGGTTACTTACGCGTCCGCCATTCTTCCACGCGATAAAGGAGGATCTAACCTCTCTTCGCCTCGGAGTGAGAAAATTAGTTCATGCGAGTTCCTGCATGCAGCGGCGTGGCAGCACGTTTGTGTTACACGCGGTGTGGTGTGCGTGTGAGTGTGTGACCGTGACGACCGACCGGAGCGACGCGTCGCCAAATACTTGAGAAGCGAGAAGCTCGTTGGCCACAGAGCAAGTCCAGAGGGTCACGTCACGAGTTGCATTTATCTCCCAGTAAATTGTAACGTGCTTGAAAATTATAGAAACGAAGGAATTTCAGACGCTGCCTGACGAGATCGAATTCAAATGTATTTAGCCAATATGCCAGCTAGTTACCTAGTTTGAAAATATTTTAATTAAAATCTAAATTTAACTTATTTAATTTTTTATTACTTTTTACTTATTTTTTAAGTTTTTTTATTCAATTTAAATCCAATTTGAATTATCAAAATAACTCCCAAATCTTAACAATTATATTACAACTCTTACAAATGATTTCTGCATATTATATAATTTATTTGTATAACACAATTAAGGAAAATAATGTAGAAGCTGGATAATATATTTGGGAAAGTAAGAAGCGGCGAGTGTTAGAAACTCTTTATTTGTTATGTCTGTATAAACATCTGATTTTAATAATGGCAAAAGAGATTAATAATACAAACCATAATAGTAACCGTAATAATATCTCTCGTCGCATGATTAATAATAATAAGTAAAAAGAACATTGTATATAATGTCGATATAACTTGTAACATTCCGTGAAAAATAGATATCTAAAAGATATTTCTATGTGTGTGTAGAAGAGACAATTACAGAACAACTATTAAAAAAATATCGTCTATATAATTATAAATCGTTAAAATAATGCATTATTACATTCATCAAAGATCGTTGCGTTTCTTGTATATGTGTAATATATATAATATATATCTATATATATCTTTATATAATTCATCATCTTGCGATACATATGTTATATATCATGGCACATTCGTTTAACAATTAATAAGAGATACGAAGATCCACACAAACCCATTCGCGATGCGCGTCATTTACGACCGATCTCTTCAAAGCCAGCCAATTCTCGCCCAAGTTCAAAAGAAAATTATTCACAAAATAATATCGCTTCATCGTCGCTTTACAATTCACAGCGTGTTCGCAATGCGGATGCGGAATCAAAATCGCGCGCGGCTGGCAGATTCGACCGAAATGAAAGAGATCGATCATAAGATTGATTTGATTTGGCTGATTCATTATTATTAAGACTTCAGACTTTTTGTGCGAACACCTGGAGGCACGTAGATTCGCGATGAGCGATCCCTCGGAAAAATACACGACGGTGAAACGCGCGCATCGCTTTGAAAGAGCTCGACGTTGGCCGTCCGTTCGGCCGACACACTCGTCCACACGCATTCCGTTAAACACATTAGTAAAGCATTCGATTTTTGGTAATATTAGAGACTTATTAAGATATCGTACTACGAACGCATTAAAGGGAGGGAAGCGGCAGCTCGCTGGCAGCTCGTTAGGCACTTTTCTCGTTAGACGATCGCGTTAAGCTCGTATCAGAACAAAAAATTGAGAATTAAAGATTAGAACTTGGTTAATCAGATAAATTTAATTTTTATCCATTTTGTTTTGATCAATTGGATTCTAATCTCCAATTCGCAATCCTCAATCTCTAATGGGTAGCCTGATATGGACTTCAAGGCCGTATCAGTCTACTCACTGAAGATTACCAACTAAAGATTAGAACTCGATCAATCCGATAAATTCAATTTTTATCCATTTTGTTTTAATCTGTTCTAATCTCCAATTCGCAATCCTCAATTTTCCATCTGATACAGGCTTTAGTCTGTCGCTGACATAACGCCGGAATATCTCTGAATTTCTTATATTAATGGACATTCGTGTAAAGTAGCCTGTCTACTCGCAAAGGAAAATAATAAGAACTATGACGCACAAAAAAAAAACGTAAGCAGTAAAGCAGTAAGTGAAATTGGCTTGGTGAAAAAATTATATTTTAAAAAACTTGTCATATCTTAAATTTAGTGTTTTAAAATGTGTTCCAAATTGTATTTAAAAAATCTGAGAAATTGTAAAACTTTTTAACATTTTTTAGAAAATTGAAATTATGAAATTAAGATACAAGTTCTAAAAAATTTTGAAATTAACATATAGAATTCCGAAAAATTATATAAAAAATTGAAAGAAAAATTTTCGCCAGAGCAATTATAGTTTAAAATTGTCGAAAATTATATGTTTACTATCTCTCGACTATAATTGATTGGTTTACCACTTCAATCTTATTCACGTTTTTCTACGTGCCACTAGCCTAATTGCACTAAATCACTCGCAGAAGCCTCAGTTTAACTCGAAAATATCCACATTAGTAAATTAATAAATTCAATTCAAGAACACGAGCTACCGCCTGCAAATTAAAACGGTACGTAGAATCGCGGTAAAAGAAACGTAAAAGATAAATAGAATCAATATATTTTGGCGACAGTGTGTGAAGGATCCTCAGAATAAATAGAGACGCAGTGAAACGCCGGGAAGGGAAATGGAACAATTAATTGAGAAAACGGAAAGTGTTAATAGCGGTGGCGCGTCGCCGGGCCTGTCTCGGCACCGCGCGACATCGGAAAAATTAATAAAATTAAATGATATGTTGCTTCTCTTGTTAATCCGGTGGTTCTCTTAACCGTAAAATAAGTAAACGTAAAATTAACTCTACATTAAACCAAGCGCGTAATTATTTCCTATCGTTCTGTATAAGCGAAGAAAAAAAAAAGAAACAAAGAACTTACTGTGCAAATACAAAAGCGAAAACGATCAGCGTTCTTCTAAAATTTGACGTAACATTATATGTGCAATCGATTTCGCGTCTCTCGTAAGATCCAGTTGTATGGCTATAGAAAAAACGATCCATGGCTCGCGAAACATCCATGATTAAATACGTTCATAAGGCTACTGATCGAAAGCACGAGTGTTACATCTATCTAAGGGCACTTTCTATCATTTTGCTAATAAATAACTCTGTTATCGTTCCTGCTCATTTCGAAGCGTCGAAGATGGTAAATTAAAACGCAATTCTTAACGCGTAACAGAGACTATTTCCGATCGAAGTTCACTGCGAAAGCTCGTTACCCGTCAAGAGCCGCGCTGCTGCATTCTCATTTCAATCTCTCGATTCTAAAGCTTATTGATCTCAAAATTGAGAAAATTGTTATCGTACTAAAATAATTTCATCTGTACTTTATCGTTTTGTATACTGCATTTTTTTAGGCTATTCGAATTTAGGCAGGTCACTTTTCTTAAGGATCATTCTCAGACGAAATTGTCGCTTCGATAATCGCGTGCAGCGGACGCTAATTTACGTTTCTCACTGCTTGTCCTCGTAATGAAAACTCTTCGCGTTGGAAGACTCCTGTCGACTCGACATCGTCATGGTGACGGTCTTCTTCTCCGTGACTTTGTGCATCGACTGCTTCGTCATGCGCTCCTCGACGATGTCGTTGCCCTTGAATGTCGACAACTCATTGCCGCCGGACGTGTACTGCTTCGTTTCCTCGGTGGTCTCGTAGTTGGAGCTGCTGGTACTCTTGCCGGGCGTAGATGTGTACACCTTCGTCGTAACGGTCTCGATTTTGCCGCCGGGGATAGTTTTACTCTCAACATTCTTGAACGTTTGATGCTGCGGGATACCGCTGCTAAATCGCTGGGTGTCCACCTGCTTCTCGGAACGGAACGTGCTCATCGGACTGACGCCCGAGAACCGATCAGTCGGATACTTCGGCTGATCCTGCGGGGACTTTCGGTCCTCGGTAATCTGCTCCTGAATGGTCTTGGGAGTCGGGGATTTCGTCGAATACGAGATATGTTGGGGCGGCGGATACGATGAGATTCCGTCCGCGTGTCTTCTATCCGTACCGAAACTCTCCTGATTGATTCTTCGCTCGATCGAACTGTACTGGCCGGGTGAATTGTCCGTTATGATCCTCCTCTCGGTGACGATGTACGGACTCCTGTCGTGATAACTGTCGACAGTGTACTTTCTGTCCAGAGATCCGTACTGATCCACGGTGGACCGGTACTGACTGTCTTTCATCTTTCTCTCGAGGGTGCTCTGCGTCGAATGTACCTTTTCCGGGCTCACCAGGCTCTGCTGATCGGCAAATTGATGACTGATGTGCTGCGTGGTAGAATGCAACTGGTCCAGAGTGTGATTCATCGTCTGAATGGGCGAGGTCGCGGTTTGCGGTTCGTATGCTTTCGTCTCATACCGGGTGGTGTAACTCTGGTAGCCGCTCTGATCGCCCGCTACATCTCCATCTCCGTCGGCTAAATCCGGTCGATTCTTGTACTTGGCTAAACGAATGGCGGTCAGCCTGCCTCGGGCCTCCTCCAGCTCGCGTTCAATTCGCAATACCTCCGAGCGCGCGTCGATTTCCTGCGCGATACCGCCCACCATGCGGCGGTTCAAGACCAACGATCTGTCTTCCTCTTGCTGGATAGCCTGTTGCGCAGCGCGTACGAGATTATCGGTGGCACGTTTCACGGCATTACCAGCCGCTTGTAGACGTTTCGTGCTCTCGCTGTCAGGGTCGGCCTTGACCTTGCAAGCGACCAACAGTTGCGCCGTGCTGCTGGCAACCTGCTTAGCGCTGGAAATCAACTTCTCTTCGGAGCTTACTCCTTGAACGAGAGCGTTCGCGGATTCCACGAGGCTATGAGTGGCGGCCGCCACCATTCGAGCGGCCGAAATCAGACCTTCAGACCACTGACCGTCATCGGAGCTGGTTAATGGCGTGCGTGACACCTTGCCGGTCGCGATGAGTTCTCTTTGAGCGGCACTGGCGGCTTTTATCAACGCCGAAGTGGCGGCGGCAATCGATTTGGCGGCTTCAAGAATCATCTCGTCGAAATTCATGTCCTCGTTAGCCTCCTGTTAAACGAAAAAATATATATTAAAAAAAAAAGAGAAATAATGTTCACTCACAATTAGAAATTATACAGTTTTAGATAATAATTTTTACAAATTAAGACAATCATTGACTTCATAATTTTTTTTCTATG